ATCACTGAGAACCCAGGAAATATGAAACAAATTTTAGTTTTCCTACTCCCTACTGTATTGTGCCATTGACCCCCATGGTGCACAGAGATGACAACCCAGACAGTGAACAACAGACCAGAAGGGCCAGGTCAGGTCCAAAGAATCCAAAATGAAAGGTGCATTTCTTGTGGTCTGTGTCTGAAGGAGGACGAGCCCAAGTGTGAGAGATGTGACAGCTCATGCACCGAGTGCAAGGGACCTGGGCCTCTCAACTGCACGGTCTGTCCGGCCAGCACGCAGCTCTACCTGGAGGAAAGCCGCTGCCTGCCCTGCTGCAGTGACTCTGACCTGGCAGGCATCCCAGAGTGCTGTGACTGCAGGGAAACACAAGGTAGGACCACGCTGAAGAGCAGTAATGGTGCTGAAGAGCTTTATAACTGACTAGGCTGACATTTAAAAATCAAAAGGGGAACAGAGCAAAAATGTGCTGCTGAGGTGCAGGCACACAGTGTGTTTCTGCTGCTCCGTCACCAAAACAGGAAGGGCTTTACACAAGTAACAGCAATCGAGATTGATGTGGGAGACGGCACCTTCTTTCGCTCACAGCTATTGTGTTAAATGGCCAGGCATTTCATAAACCTGGTGACTGGCAAGTGCTTGCTTCAATGGATAGCCATCTGAATCATTGCATTTTAAACTCATCAGGTCAAAATACATTTGTGTGCCTGTTAGCTTTTCTGCTTCTTTCTGTTTATTTCTAATCTAATAAAGAAGCATAGCTATCCCAGCAACCTTGCTTACATCCTTGCACCATCACAGCTACAAGAACACAGCTGTGGTACTGGAAGAGTAAAGTATTTAGTCGAACACATTTAAAAATGTAAGTAGGCCTAAACCTTCTACTGGGTTTCTTTAAGATAAATAACCCCCAGCCATACACAGGCACACAAGCTCATTTAATCCTTTTTTTTTTTAACTGTTGTTGTAGATGACTGTGTATTACGGACCACCCTACCACCCGAGAGCAAAAGCAAAACTGCTTTCTTTGTTATTACCTGCATTTTGCTTCTCCTTGTCATTGGAGCCATTGTATTCATCTGGAGAAAATCACGAGCCAAAACCCGGTCTGTCAACAAAGGTGGGTATGAGAAGCTGACAAATCACTCCAAAACTTTTCCTTCCTATGTGAGGAACTACCACGAGAGTCCCAGTTACCAGGAAGATCAAGTGATTGAGTATAGAGATCGAGATAATGAAGATGATGACGAAGAAGATGACATTGTATATATGGGCCAGGATGGCACGATCTATCGCAAATTTAAATATGGACTTTTGGAGGATGATGAAGAAGATGAGCTTGAATATGATGATGAAAGTTATTCATTTAGATAACTCTTTACTAATTTATGAATTTCCTGCTCTGTTGCTTTTCCTATTAAATTACAGCAATGTAGTTAAGTATGTTTAGTTACTTCTTAGCATGCTGAGATTTTAGATGACAATTACTGTGAGAGCAGAATGGTTTCTAAAAACATTGTGTCTTAAAGCTTTACATAAATCCTTGCTAAGCTTTTAAGTAACACTCCAGGCATAGTCTGGTTAAGAGATTATGTTTCTGTGCATTTGTGTGAAGAGTAAACCCTTTCCCAATATGTATTTGTGTGCATTATAACTAATACAACCTCTGCTTCAAACCACGCACACACACTTACTGAGAATCTTGCCAATCACTACTAGAAATGTGCAGATATAAACAAGATGGTTGTATTTATCTACCCGATGAATGTCATTGGGATAGGCTGCCAGTAGTTTACTACTCTGTGATTATAGTTACTCAGCAATACATAATAGAATAGGTAAGTTTGCTGACTTTATCCAGATTTTCTTCATTGGTATCATCTGGTGCATCTGTGTTCTTGAAAGCCAACACATTCCTACTTCCCAGTGAAATTGTGCATCTATGGCACGATGTTTTAAGATTTCTGATTGTGACTCTACTCCAGGTAACTATATTGTATTCACAGTTCATACGAAACATAACTAAATTTTTTTATATATCAACTTCTGATTACTCTTTACTGTGGTGTTTGTCAAATACTCTTTTATTGTACACACACACTTCTGGGTTTACTGCAAAGGGAAATATGGTCTATAAACATGCTCACAAAAAAAGGACTCCTTTTGCCTTTTTAACTACCTTCTCAGTGATTTAAACAGAGAACATCTACTCAAGCAGCTTTTCCATTTCTGTTGTAAATGGCTCAGGATATTCAGACAATGGCTAAGGGGATAATTAGCACTTATTTGGAAATGTAACTTAAAGGAACACAGCAATGTGATTTTTTATTATTATTACAGAAATATAGTTCATCATACTAAAGAAAACGATGCTCTTTATGGCCCTTTGTTGTGAAAGAATAAATTCTTTGCACAAAACTGTCTTGAAATTGCTGTTATTTGTTAAGTTTCATTCACTCTCAGAGTTCCTTTAGATTTCCAGTTAAAAGCTGCTCTACAACTATAAATTAATTAATTAGATTTAGTGTCTACAAAGGAATTGTATGAAAATACCTAGTTTTTATGGCTCAACGCCTCGGTGGAATTTTTTGTATGAAGTATTATTAAAGACCTCAGGATAGTTCCATCTGTATGTTTGAAGAAGTTTTATGGAGAGGTTTATTTCTTCCACCTGAATTTCAACCTTTTAATCATTGCACTTTCAGTAAGAGAGAGGAATTAAAAGTCATGTGGATTTCACAAAAGCCAAAATAAGGACCTATGTTTATCAAAAGTTATATGATGCCAAGGTGCTTTGGAAAGATGCATGTTATGTGTCACTTTAATTCAAGTTCTGCTTTGTTAAAGTTCTGAAAAAATGGAAGAGGGAAAGAAGAGTGAAAAATTTGAAAAGCTTTGTTTGAAAGCTTTTTTTTGTTTGAAATTTTGAAAGCTCATACTGAAAGAGACTGTGTTATCCTGCTCTCCTAAACTTGTTTGGATTAACAATATGCTTTATTATTGTTGTTAATGGCCTATAACACAACTGTAAGAATTCCTTTGACCTGAAATCTCTCCTCACATTTCAAAGGTTTAATCCTAGCTACACCTGAGTAGTCTGAAACAAATGTGATAGATGTAATGAGATTTTTGATTATGGGCTTTCAGACTAACTTCATCATCATTTTATGAAAACAGTTTATTGCATTTAAAGCTAACCTTAATTGTAGAAAAACACCAACAACATATGTAAATCAGCACTTATTTTGGAAAAACCTGTTTCTTAAAAGAATTTTGTCTAAATTTTTGCAAGTCAGACTGGGACAAACTTGCATTTCTAAGTGCGCATCCAAAAAAAAAAAAAAAGCAAACCAAAAAAAACCCCTCACCTCCAAATTCTTTTCAAATGCCAATTCTTTTTTCAGAGGTTCTTTGTTGTGGTTTGAGTACACCATTTTCAACCATATTTTCAGTTATCAGCTGCATACTTTCTGATTCCTCCTGCTCTGCAGTCTGACACTTTCCTTCTGGCTTTCGGAGCTTGTCACAAGCAGTCAGGGATCCTGGATGTGAAAAGCAGAAGAGGACTTCCTTGTATTGCTAAAGCTGCACAGGCAGAGCTGAGACACCATTTGTCAGGAGACACGCAGTACTAGTAAATTCTCTCCACCCAAATAAGCAGTGCTTTTTGGGAGGGATTCAAATGACTATTCAAATGATAAGCCTATTTTTAAGAGATGGCGGCATGCATGCAGCAGCATGCATGATTTTATGCTGCATGGGTACGGTGACAAGGTGCATGTCTTACAAAATGGCAGATAATTGCCTTGAAGGTGAACCAGTCTTCTTAGGAGAACAGTAAATAACTGATTAAGTTAGAAGCATATGAGAAAGGATATGAGGAAGAGAATCACACTCAAGGTTATTATTTTTTTTAAGTGGAAGTTTCAAAATAGTGGTCAAGGACACCCAAACTTAGTGACGCACAGAGCCGTGTCACTTTTACAGCATTGACAATTAAAACTCCCTGCTAAGAGTCCACAGGGAGACCAAGAAAAATAAAGTTTAACAGTTAACTGGCACAAAAGGAAATCATTCATGAGTCACTCGCACTTCTAAAGAAACTTCATGGAAAACGGAGTACAGCCAAGGAAGTCAGTAATAACATACAGAGAACACAGCACACAAAGGAAATACTGCTTTTCTGGATTATTTTATGGACTTCTTGTATCTAAGCCATTTACATTCTGTCCTGGAAAAAAGACAGAGAAATTCAAATCCATAGTTGTTCAATTCCACAAATCTTTAGTTGCCACAAAGCGAATTCTTCTTTCTCCTGCCTTTTCCTTCACACATCATAGTGAGAAAGATGTCCCAAAGGAAACAAGTATCTTTCAAAAACAAATGGGATCTCTTCCATTCAAGTGTTCCCTAAATTTTCTTTTGATCAGCCTGAAATTCTTGTTAACTTTAGCAAATTTATCTCACCCTCTTGCTTCTCAAGCTTTTTTCCACCTCAAGGCCCTTCCTTCCCCCTGCACCTCTTTCTTTGCTATGCTCATTCATCCATGGAGTTTCTACAGTCCTTCAGTCTTCACCAATTTTCTCTGCCCTTCTCCTAGGCAACTCGCTCTCATTACCCTTTCAGTAGGAAAGCTTTTTCCCAAAAGATCTCATAAAAATCACATCTCCTACATAGTTTTACCACCCACTTACCCCTCATGTAATCCACTAATACAATTTCAATGGAAAGTGTAGGCTACCAGTGTTCTTTACGCTTTCTTTCCACAGAGTTTATGTAAATAGGGAAAAGTTTTCTCTTCAAGACTCTACCCTGAAATTTTGCTGGGAAGAAGGTGGAGGAAAGTAGATGGTAGGAGTTACATTTCAAGTGTCTTGAGGTCCAAGACTCCTTCCTTGACAGGCTATTCCCTGATCAGATTACATTCTCCCAGTACACCACATATTTGCCTTTGGGTTGTGTGTAACAATTGCAGGACTTCCTGTTGAGGAGTCAGACTGAAATTTCAAACCAAAGATAGGAATGAAAATACAATAAACTTAATTGTGTAAGTTATCGCAGAAGTCTTTCCAATGGGTATTTTGAGGCATTTGGTTTTCTCATGAAAAATAACGTGTGTTTCAAGAGAAATACATATTTTTGCATTAAAAAATGTTTTCTTAGTAATCAAATTTCCATTTTAAAACTTATCTATAGAAAAATTCTGATTATCCATAAGTCATCGCTATTTTACCTAGGTCATCTATGTTCATTTGAGCCACTCATTTGGAGTGAGGACAGCAGGGTGGCAGAAGAATATCTTTCAGAGTAGACCAGAACCAACTATTGATTTTTCACCTCCCCTCAACCTCTTATCTGTACATGTAGTTTCAACCCTGAACTTTAAGGAGTAATCAGACATGCATCCTGACGAAGAATAGACAGATATTCTAGAGGCTCAAAAGCACTTTTGAACAGAAAGACTTTAAGAAGTTTTTCCATTTTTTTTTCCTAATTAGTACATATATATGACAATAATAAGCTATCACATCAAACAGCAGATGACTAAAGATTCTGACTGTACACAGACATACTCACAATGAACTAGATACATTTATAGGTGTTAAGATGCAAAATTAACAGGAAACATATGCACATACAACTTCTGTTCTCCTTTCAAGGCAGGTACGATATGTTCCTACTTTATTGGTTGTTCCCTGCTGATCAGAAATATCTAGGAAGTTGCCTAACACATGTTGGTTGATTTTACCATCTCTCTTGTGATTTTACTAATTGTTAACATGACAAAAGACAATTTTTCCCTTGGAGAAGATACATTACAAAGTAGGCAGTAATTACTACTTTTTTTCCCCCATCATCCCTTCTTAGATTTAGGTTTACGCTGGAGGGAGCTCTCTTCTCAGACCTTAACAAACAAAACAGATGCAGTAATTATCTCTCTGCATGACTTTGCAGGTTTATATTACACATTTAATCGAATAGTAAAAAGAGAAATAAGTATTCTTTTATTCTTCTTCATTTATACTGTCTATTTAGCATCTAGACAAGCAGATTTTCTTCTTCAAAAAGAGTTCAGGTGCCACACTTACAAAACAAACATTACACTAAATAGTTCTTGCTCTTCTTGCTCATCTTTTTTTCTTATATTCCTCAGTCCTTGCTTACTGCATGTCATGTCTAAAACCCTCATCCAATTATTTTTCCTTTCTCCTCCTTCTTGACACCTAGCATCATCTTTATTTCCCAGTTCTTTTTTTTTTCAGATGTAAAAAACTAATTTTGTCACTGAAGTATCTCATCATTAGTAAAAAAAAAAAAAAAAAAAGCCAAATATAAATGTTACTGTATTCATGGCACTGAATTCTACCTTCTT